TTGTCAGGTGCAGCAGAAAGTGAGTCAAGAATTAAACCAGAGACTGCTGAATCCTCTGCTTTAAGACCATAATTTTTCTTTATCTGCTAGTGAATTTATTCACTACTCCTCAAAGTTAAGCTCTGTATTTATGCATGGCATGGAACAGTTACTTTACCTTACACAATTTATATTTTCTATTCTTACACAATTTATGGTTTTTGTCCTCTTTGTCCAGAGATTGAAACTTGAAATTAAGTGTAAGATTCAGGTCCATGTTATGGCAGAGAGTTTGATCCTAATCACGTACATATAGGTGCTCAAAGCTGTTCGGGATGCTCTACAGCATCCGATATTTCCTCATGTCTGGCGTATCTGAGAAAGAACTTGCAGAAGACTTTTGCCAGTTGAGACTGGCAGCTAGAGCCCATGCAGGACATGCAAAGTAATCTCAAAGGGCACTGGGAAGTGATTCAGTTGTCCAAACAGAAGTCTGTGGCTGTTTTCAGATAACTAACCAACACCATTTTGTCTTCATATTTAATTTCTTATGTGGAATCAGTATCCTTTGTTTATTGAACAGCAGTTAGTCTTCTCCTTATACTTTATCCATTTAAACCCCTCCGAGTTCATTCAATGACACTTGAAAAACAAGTTACAGCTTTTAAACACAATTGGCAGAGTACTCTATGTATCACACAATTTAGCACAGCTGTCTCCTGTATCCACTATTTACATACTGGATTTACTAGCCTGTCAGAAGTTGCTTTAAAAAAACCAACTAATAATTGGAAATTGTAAATGCTCTGAGTTAGAATAAGACTTTACTAGTTCTTGTCTTGCACAGCTTAAAAATCATGCTATATAACTGAATAATGTAGTTGAACTGTAGAATTTGAATTCATATTTAGATTTGAACTCCAAAGTTCCTCATGATTTGGTAAGACATCTCATGTGTTTTTCATTTGCTTCATCCATTATTAGTCTGCATTGTTTTAGTAAATTGTCAGCTGAAATGTGATTGCTTGTGTCTCCTTGGTGAAGAACAATACTATACTGAGTCTCAGGGCATTCACCTGCAAAATGTGTACAATAATACCATAAAGGTATTAGTTGGTAAAAGGATTCATTAATGGAAGGAAAGCCCCTGTAAAAGTAAAAAAAACCCCATTGTTTCAAATTTGAAATACATTTAAAGAAGCTTTATAGCACCTTACTGTGGAGAGAGGCTGAAAATTGATATAATGGATAAAATGAAGCCAGAAGCCTTCAATTAAGTTAAAAGTAGTCCTGTGCAGGTAAAGAGTGGTGTCAGAGCTTCAAAATCAGCATAAATTTAGAGTGAAATATTTGAAGCCAGATGTACTCCACTGTTTGAGATGTCCCATAGGTTCCAGAGCAGTAAGGTGAATAAGAGGAAGTTCAGCAGAGTCACTGCTCAAGGGTACAGGGGATAGGAAAGCCAAAGCCTACCTGGAGATGAATCTGTCAAAGCATGCAAAGAGCACCAAGATATGTTTCTGCAAGTGTAGCAACAGCAGAAAAAAGTCTAGGGAAAATGTGGTCCAATGCTGCATGGGGGCAGGGAACCTGGTGAGAAATGATGTGGAAAAGGCTAAGGTACTCAATGCCTTCATTGCCTCAGTCTTTACTGCTAAGTCTGGCTTACAGAGTCCCAGGCACTTGAGACCACAGGGGAAGTTTGGAGCAAGGAGACTTATTCTCAGTGGAGGAAGAGAAGGTTAGGGAATATTTAAACAGACTGGGCAGACATAAGTCCATGGGCTCTGACAGGGTGCACCTGCAAGTGCTAAAGGAGCTTCCTGATGTCATTGTAAGGCCACTCTTGATTACGCTTGAAAGGTTGTGGTGACTGGGGGAGGTTCCTGAGGACTGGAAGAAAGCAAATGCCACTCCTATCTTCAAGAAGGAAGATCCAGGGAACTTCAGGCTGGTCAGCCTCATATTAATCCCTGTGTACATGATGGAGTAAATCCTGGAAACAGTTTCCTTGACTAGCCTTCTATGATGAGATGACTAGCACAGTGGATGAAGGGAGAGCCGTGAAAGTGATTCATCTCAACTTTAGCGAGACTTCCAGCACTGTCTCCTATAACATCTCAAAGACAAACTGATAAAGAATGGACCAGCCACAGGGATAGTCAGATGGACTGGAAACTGGTTGAACTGTTGGGATTAAAGGGGTGTAGTCAGAACTGATAAGCTCTAAAGTGTTGTGATCAGTGGCACAAAGTCCATCTGGAGGATGATCTAACCTGGCTATTCCACCTTGCCAACTGTGAGGTGCATGGATGTAGGGTATCAGGGCTGTTCTGTGACAGCTTGAAGTTGGCTGTCCAGAGACCTCCCATGCTCCTATGGCATGTGACACCAGTGTGTATCTCAGAATGATGCTGCAGTCCTATGACATTGCTTCAAAAGCACATAGGTTGTAAGAAGGGAAGCATGGCATATTCTGCAAGTGCAGGTCCTGCATACGGCGGATAGTTTTGTGAGGGCTCTGTAATAAGACAACACAGTTTTCTCTCCATGTGCTGTTGATCAGTAATGTCTTTGAGCCTGCACTAGCAATAAAGTGTATGGAGAGAGAGGCTTTCAGCCCATATCCCTCTTCTGGGGTTGTGTAGAGGGAGAAAACATGAAAAGATGCACTACAGGCTAAATTTATGGTAGAAGTGTTAGCTTAAATTATCTTCTTAGTTCCTGTATACATTCCTTAAGATGTGAAACTCTCAGAAGTCTGGTTGACTTACTCCTCCAGATCAGAGCTTTTCTTGCTTGAACTCCAGTGGCATATAGATAATCCTATTAGTATTTATTGCTTCTACAGCCTGCTATGAGCTCTCTGAGTTTTGTTATTAATTCTTGTAAGTACAATGTGCCAAGCAAGCAAGAAACAGACTTCACAAGGGAATTGCCTAAATTGAGGAATTCAAAACAGCGTAAAGTAAGAAATTGTTGGGTGTTTTATCTCCTGTTAAAATTTTAAGGAGATTCTAGGTCTAGGACATGGTTATCCTGGTTCCCTCCAAGGATGACCTAGTTGATGCCCGCCTGAGGGAGACATTGCACACAGAGGGATGCCCTGTGTTGCCGACTCTGAATCTGTTCCTTGTAGTGTTGCAATAGTGGACAAGCACCCTCCCCTCATTTAGTGCTACTAAACTCTGGAGAACAGGACACCATTGCTTTACTAGCTGCCTGAGAATCACTTCCAAAATGAGCCAGAAGCCACTAGAATGTAATACGAATTTAAGAAAAACACAGGGAACTGGAATGTATTATCCAAAATAGGATTTTTTTTTTTTTTTTTTTTTTTAAGTAGGGTGACTGTGCTACCCTGGTTCACATCATCTTCCGTATGGGCTCATTTGTTCGTTTTGACCACAGTTCAATATTTGGAAGAACCAGGCAATGTAGTCCAGACTAGATTTCCAGTTCTTAACACCAGCTCTTAAGTTAGTGTATCAACCATCAATTTTCATCAGGTTGTGTGAGTGTACTGTTACTGTGTAATGTTTAAAAACATACATAGTCAATACTCTTCTGTGTGTGTTGGGAGGCAAAGAGTTAGGTGAGGAAAACTTTGACATTGGTATAGTTGTGTTTTGTAGCACTGGAAAAGCATACGACAGCATGCTTGGAACAACAAAACAGCATCTAGAGAAGTAAGAGGAAAAAAACACTCAGAAAACCACACTTTTTGTAAGCCAATTACAAATAGGTAGTCAAGGCAGCCAGGGAGGAGCAGCAGAAAAAAGCAGATGGGCAGGCCAGAAGGACATGCCACTTGCCACATCATTTGACATGAATTACACCCAGCATATTGTCTTTAATGGCTTTGTAAGGAAAGGTCAAAAGTCTTGCCTGACAGTTTATCTCAGATATAAAGAAATCCATGTTGTATTTATCAGCAGAATACTGAACATGGTCAGAACCAAGTGAATGTGGGTTTTGTTTTGATCTGAGTGGCCAGGTGATTTATTGAAGAGAGATCCATAAGCTGAAGCAGAAGTACCTGGGAAAGCAAGCGAATCACCTGGGTAAACTGGTTCCTCATTGACAAGGTGATGTCGATGTGAGGTAACCTTCAAGGCAGGTGTATGCCCATACTTTATAGATGGGAATTTCTGACATGAGACATCAAATTCCACATGTGGGCTTGGAATGACTGCACTTTTCACCAGCACTTGAAAACTTTGATCATAGGTCTCTGTTTTATTTAGCAGTTCTTTGGGCTGTTGAACTGTTATCACATTCAGCTCCCCTGTCTTCAGAATCATGGCACTGAAATGTTGTCTAGGAATTAGAAATTGACCCCTGATTTTGAGGAACAATTTTGGTTCCTATGTGCAACATCAGTAGTAGAGTGTCTCCACTGGCAGGTTTTTAGTGACTAGTTAGTCTACCAGAAGCAGACAGGTAGTTCCTGTAGCTAGACTGACTCTGCAGCCTTAATAGTCCACAGCTCTCCATTACTAAAATGCCTAAGTATGTTCAATTACCTTTGATTTTCATAGACTGTATAGAATTAGGCTTACATTTTATCACTTCCCGTATGTCTCTTGCTATGGGGAAACCTCAGTAAGCTAACAGTTTCCTAGTTCTTGTTGGATTTTGCCTATACATTATCTGCTGATCTGTCAACATCTGAGGGCAATCCAATAGTTTTCTTCTTTTTCACAGGAAACACTGGGTGTCTATTCACAGAAACACATGCACTTACACACACAGACATGCGTGTAGCCACGGAAGAAAATAAAGTTCTTGCAGTGCAGCATCTTGTTGCCATTGTGGTCCTGAAGGAGGGAGGATCTCTGCTGCTTCTCAAGGATCCTCTCTACTGCATTCTGAAACTACCACCTGAGGGAAAGCTTCTCTAGCAAAACCTTCTGAAATGAAACAAAAGAGGTCATAAAAATCTAAATCCTTGGGCTTTGTGACTGTTATTCAGCTGTATTGAACCAGGGAAGTCACTGTTACTGTTTTTGCTGTTGCAGGATTCCCAGCAGGAGAACTGCAAAAGCCTTTCTTTTGGGGGACAGAGTATCCCAGGTAAGTATGGCACCAGGGAACCTCTTACACCCAGAAATGAGGAATAACAGGGAAAGGTAATGAAAATACGTACAGACAGAGAAGAGGGCATGGAGAAGAAGGCTACACTGCTGAGGAAGACCAACAGGTAGCACACAGGATTCTGTGTTGTCCTTCTGTAGGGAACGCTTGGCCCTTGAGTTGCGTTCTTCGTTGCTGTGTCCTGCTTTTAGTATTGAAAAACCAGACTTTGAAAACTGCTGCTTTGTGTGATAGTTTTTCTTCCCCTTGGGAGCTGTATGTGTTGCTGTTGTCTTAAACCGACGACTGATTTCTCACAGGAATTGCTAATTAAGTGCACCTGAGTGGAAGCGTTTCAATTCTATAGCAAGCAGATGCAGCAATGTGCACATGGCAGGTATTAAAAGAAATTGTAAATCAGGTAACTAACGCTTCCTGAGCAGAAGTGAATACCCTGAGAAGCCATTTATTATCAGTTTATTGTTCACTTTCTGCTAATATCTAAGATTAGCAGTGGGCCTTCACCTGTGGCTGTTGAGGTGTATGAGAATATCTCCATGTGCACAAGTGATTGCCTGAGCAGGCCCATGTGCTACCGTAGCTGAGGAAGAGTAATTATATGTCACATATATTTCATTTTGAAAAATCACTGCTTTTGAGCAGTTAAATAACTTTCTATTTTAGGACAGGATAAGACTGTGAAAAGCTTCTGACAGCAGTTTCTAAGAGTTATTTTGCAGTTATATAAAGCCAGTTACTGGTGAAACATATCCTTAATAGATCTTTGTTAAAAAATAAATCAAAACTTTAGAACATTTTGCATTTGCCATCTTCCAGTCTGGATGTGTCTTGTAAACAGGAAATTCCATGATACGTGTAGAGAGACACATTCAATTTAGGAACAAATGAATTTGCATTCAAAGAGAATTCTTATGAGCCAGATGACTCTCTAAGTGGTAATTGGGGACAGAAGAAAGTCCTTTCTTGTTAAGGTGAACTTGTTTTCTGCTGTGGTTATTGCAGACCTGTTTCCAGCTTTGCTTTCTGAAGAGATCTCTCTGTACTCTGACCTTCTGCTGTAGCGATAAAATTGTGGTTCTTTCAAAGAATTGTACTTTGCTCATTTCTCTTATTTAAAGGTTACCTTAACTTAAATCAGTTTTGCTTGAGTACATATCAAAATGAGATTTAGTAAACAAATGTAGCTGTTTTATATCAGACAACAGATTGCTTTTGTCCTTGAAATATTCTGGATCTGTTTTCTGTATGCTTAAAAGAAACAGTACATGGCACTGGAACAGAAAAATCATCAAAAAGTCATCAGCACTTGCTGGAAAACTGATTTAGCAAATATTTAACATTTAGTGGAGTTTTAGTGTCCAGTTCCTGTATAACCCCTATAAATAGCTACATCTATTTGCATAAAGGGAAGCTAAGTTATCACTTTATGTCTTAGTACATGGAATAGAATACCATTCAAATGCCATCTTTCATAGTTACCATTCTTCAATGCCAGATAAATTGAAATGTAGACTTCAAACTACCTGAGTTGGTAGCTGCCTCTGAGTCTCTGCAGTCCCAGAAAGTCTCCCCTCTAATATGGTACCTGTTGGGCTGTACCTGATCCCCTCCATCTCTGTCCAGCTGTGCCCCAGAAGTGAAGAGCATGAACAGAGCTGGGAGCATTTCTGGCAAAAATGTTGAATTGGACGAAATGCTGAAGGGGGGTCACAGAAGCAAAGGGCAAAGTTCACCCCGAACTTCACCTCATCTTTTGGAGCTGGAGAAAGCCCTAGAAGTGCCCAGGAACCAGCCTGTTCTTTCTCCCTGACACTCCTGTTGACCAAGAACTTTGGAGGAAAAATAAGGGCTTATTGTTTCTTCCTGATCTCTTTACATGTTTTGTGCCATTCTTTTTATACTCCTCTAGCTGCAAAAGATCCTGTATAAACACTTTACTTCAGATATGGAAAAGAAGTCTAGTATAGGGCATTTAGCATGGATAATTATCACTCTGTGCTACACAAGATTACAAATTTGTCACACAAAAGGATGGTATTTCCATTGCTGAAATGTATAATTTTCACCAGCATTTTTTAGTGAAGTTTTGCAGTAGTACAACAGTAAACAGTAGGGAAGATGCTATCACATGCAAATTACTTTTCAGGAAAGAAAAAAACAAAGCGAAGAATTGTCATGAGAACAGGAGGAATTAAATGATATAATACTTTTTGGGCATGACTGAGATGAGCAATTAGTGTGCTGTGGATCATTAGGTCCAGTAATAAGATGTTACTTCAAAACCCTCTGCCTTTTTCCTATTTCAATACAATGTGTTAGAAATACTATAAGCTACTTTGAAGTATGGCATCTCAATAACTGAAATAATTAAAATCACAAAGAACAACTTAACAAATTAAAAATGCATTTAGTAGATCACTTTTCCCCTGTGATATCCACTGCCTTTGATATAAAAAAGCCCTGAACCTTTCCCTCTTTCATTTCTGTTTCTCCCAGGTGCGTGTTTATTTGGATACAATGAGGAAAATACAATTAATTGTCAATTAGGAATACAAAATATTTATTTTTATTCTGTTTCTCTAGTGCATTAGATATGACTGTAGATCATGTCTTATTCCTGGGCAGGTGCAAGAAAATTGTATGACCTCTCTTTTTAAAACTAAAGGGAGATCTGTTTAATGCTTTACGACCTAGAGTCAGTCATTTACAAGTCTGTCTGTTGCACGTCAGTGAAGAATGATTGGAGCTGGCATTATGGAAGCCCATTGCAGCCTTTGATCTATCGTTTTTTCATGATGATGCTAAGAGAATAATTTCAGCTGCAACTTTGTCCTTCTCTCAGTTAGAATATAAACAATGCAGTCAGCTGAAGGAGACATTTTGGAGCTCACATGATGCTAATAAGGGACGTGGTTAGGAGAGTGAACCATCACAGTGCTTTCTAAAGATTTACGTTAAAGGTTGTTTTTAAACAAGTAAGAGTTGTTCATTCAGACTTTCAACAACTTTAAGTCAAAATTGTACGGGTATGATTTTTAGTCCCATATCCCCCTCAGTTTAAATAAATAATGATCTTTCCTGAGATCTTCTGTCTTTTAATGTTCGTATGTGTGGACACTTTCTGAAGAAACTGCTTCTTTGTGTTACAGGTCATTAAGCTATGGTGCCATAGGAGTAATTGTTGGCCATGAGTTTACGCATGGATTTGATAGCAATGGTGAGTATTTGTCCATATGTTGTTAAAATTTTTTTTTTTTACAGAGTTGACAGATTAGAAAGATGACTTCTGTATAAAAAAAATCAGGTTTTTTTATTGGTCTGTTTTTTAACAATGCTGAATTATGTAAAAAAAAAAAAGTAAAATTGTATTTTTTTATTTATTTACATACAATCTTGCTTATCTGAACCAGATTTTGTTTGGTAAAGAATACCATAAGTTTGACACTTTCTGTTTATTTTGAACAGAAACTAAATCAACAACAACATATTCAGAAAGTCCTGGTTGAGGGGGTTGAGGAGGGTAAAGAGATAACTTCTGATAGATAAAAATTGCTTCCAAGAAAACTTTTCTTTTCAGTTTTGACTTTTCTCAAAAGACAGTTACATACCAATATTAAAATACAACACTGGAACAAGAGTGGAACAGAAAACGTATTGCAAAATATGCTTTAAAAAAAAAAAAGAGAAAGAAGAGATGGTCTAAAAATGTCAAACCAACAGTCCTGAAAAACTGGGTGGAGTGGGGCATTACCACCATCTAACTTTGTCTGTCTCATTAAAGTCCTTTTTAAAATCGAGCTCATGGGGAGGGGCAGGGGGAGAGAGAGAGAAACACGAACCTCCTCCTCCAGGGAGCAATTCTGAGTGTCTGACTGATGTTCTGCTCTGAGTCACTGTCTAGAGAAGCCTCTTTCCACTGAAAATATAGGGAGTTTAAGGAAAAGCAGGCTTCTAGCTCGCTGCCTGACTGAAGTTAGGTTGCTTGTGTTGTGTTGCTTTGAATAGCTTTTAAAAAATAAAAGGAAAACCTTGTATCCTGTTGGCATTGCTCAGCAACATTTTGCATAAGCAAACACTTCAGAATGGAGAAATGTTTCTTCACAAATTCCCATCCGCCCTACCACTTCCATGTCATACAGGTTATGGTGTAGCAAGTGCATCCGTGTATTTGAGAGGATAGTCTGATTTTATAAACTTGGCTTCTGGAACTAACCTTCATTTGAGCATAGCATGGTTAAGAGACCCTGCTACAGAGGATGTTACAGAACATGAGTTACCGGACGAGTCTTCGATCCTGCGGTGTGATGTGGATGGCCTGGACTTAGTATTCAGTGCTGACCCAATGTTCCTAAAAGTCTAGCAGTCAGGTCTTATATAGTCTTTTTTTGCAGAGATGTAGACACAAGGCACGTTAGGACTTTCTTCAGAGTAGGTTTAGCTGTCCATGTGTATGTAACCTTGCTCTGTGATTTGCTTCTTTGTTATGACTGAGGAAAGAGAGGTAGGGAGAAGCTAGCAGACACGATACGAAGTGCTGAGGATATTTTCTTTCATCTTTTTATGTCTTTATCTTTTCCCTGTGTGTTCTCTTGTTCGAGAAGACAAATTCCTTAGGTAGTGGTCTGCCTAGGGAAGCATATCTTAGGTTCCTCTCTGACTGGCTGGAGACATACTTGAGATTAGATACTCTCCTAGAAATGAGATGGAGAAGGGGCCTGAGTCTGAATCTTCCACAAGCTATTGCTGTAACCATCCGCCTGGGGAACGGGATGTACGTATCCTCCTTGTTTCCATGAACAGGGTTCAAAAGTTCTGGTTTTGCTCCAAGGCAAAAAATGGAAACTTCATAAGTTTCCATGAAATGGATATTTTTTTCTGGTCAAGCATATAATTAATTAATAATAAATTAGTTATCTTCAGGTTTGCAGAATCAAAGGCATATGGGCTGAGGATGAAAAATACAATTATACTTACAAGAAAGCTCAAATGCCTCTTATGCTATATAATTATAAAACGTACTATAGAAGTCATTAGTCATTACTAATTTACATTATTACAATACATAGAATGGTGGCTTTTCACCACTGACTTGAGTGGGGTCAAGATTTTGCTCACTGATCCTATTAATTTTGTACACACAGTTGCATGGGTACATTCACCTCTCATTTCTATGCCAGTGATAGATTCTAAAACTAGAAAATTATGGGGTTTTCTCCTAAAAACCCATGTTTTCTTTCTTTCTTTTTTTAAGGTCGGAAATATGACAAAAATGGAAATTTAGACCCTTGGTGGACAACTGACTCTGAAGAAAAGTTTAAAGAGAAAACAAAATGCATGATTAATCAATACAACAATTACTACTGGAAGAGAGCTGGCTTACATGTATGTAAAGCATCAGTGATTGAAAGCAGTGGTACATTAGGAGTTTGTTTTTGTTTTTTGTTTTAAGTTATCTTCTTTTAAATCACAACATATTGGGATATTAGGCTAGCAACTACATTTCTCACAACAAATCATTTTTTTAAGTAAATAATTGTGATAAAAATTGTCTGTCAGATTTGATTAGTCTAGTCAAATACCACTACCCACATCCTGATGACAGGGTTAAACCACTTCTCCCCATCGCATCATATTGGAATCAGAGAAAGAATGTGAAGCCACTCATCAGGGCTGGTCTAATTACTCTGAGCATGTTAAATGTCTTCTGAAGATGAGATCCATAATGAAAACTGAGCAGCCACTCTTTTTAAAGAGAAGACTATAATGGCGTGTTTTATAGATTCCTTTAGCAATAACGCCTGTTATTTATTACAGCTATAAAATGGATGCATAAACCCCACTTTACTTCAGATTCAATTCTTGCTATTTCTTCTGTGTGTGCACACAGACCTAATTTGTGTCTGAAATGAAAGGAGTATAATATCAGCGGTTCATAGAAAAGGATTGAGAAAGAAAGTGCAAGCAAATGGTTTCTGTTTCATTGTCTATCAGAGCTATGGGCTTCCCTGAAAAAGTGCACATTATGAAAGTGTCCAAAATGAAGGATAAATCCCAGACCTTCAGAAATCAATAGCTAAAGTTCCGGTAATGTTGGCTAGGACATGATTTTAATCCTAATTTTCAGTGTAAAACACATACCCCACTCCCTACTCAATTTTACCACCTCTACTTACATTTTAGAATCAGAAATACAATTACGTCTTTGCCTTTTAAGAATAGAGAGGTCACACTGAATGCTTAGCAATAATTTTAACACTTTCCCCAGGTTGTTTGTATTAGTTTCAGAGATAACAAGGCCATATGGTAGTCCAGTCTGAAGTCCAACAAGTCAGACTTGAAGTACTTCAATATAAGCTAATTTACAAATAAAAATTCTCAGACTCATTCCTGAGTATCTGTAGGACAAAACCTTTCAATACAAAAATACTTCTTAAAGAAGGTCATTAAAACCTTTCACAAGGTTGTGATTGAGCCCTTCCCATGCTCCTGCCATTGTCTTGGTCGTTCCTTTTACCTTCTGTGGTGTCTTTTGAGACAGTAGATGGAGTAGATCTGAATTTCCCCTCCAGTGTAGCTGTTGCCTTTGAAGTCCATGGATGGGCTTACTAGAGAGATCCTGTAACCCACAGCCTTGTCATCCACAGGGCTTTTCCCTCCTATTTCTGTGGGATAACCTAAAGCACTTTTTCAGTGATAGAAGAGAAATCTTGATATTTTCTGCTGTATTTTATAGCTTCTGTATGAAGAGCTATGCATGCAAAGAACATTTTTTTTGCCTGACATTTATATCAATATTTGTACATTCTGCAGATCTTTTACCCTTGTACCAATATTTTACATGGATCGGGGAATCTATTTACTCTTCTTTATCACTCAGTTTGCAATAAAAATATTTTCAGGAAAGAAGCGTAATGAAAGAAAAAGTGGATATGGAAATAGCTTCAGAGTGCAGTAATCACATAAAGTCATCTGATCAAATAAAGGGCTTATCGTGGTCCCTGAGCCCTGTCATGAGCTGTCTGTACATAATAGTCTCAGATACCTGACCCAGAGCTGCCTGAGGTCAGTGGAAAGACTTCTTCCACTTATTAAAATGGCCTATGGCCCAAGTGCCACTGCTAGGTTACTCTCATCTTATGCTCTAAATCATTCTACTTCACAAGCCCACTGCAGGAAAAAATTATGAGTAGGCACGCCAGGAGAAAAGGCAGCTGGTGTGTATGCATGTTCCCTGGTGTCCCAGCACCTTTTCTCCTAAAAGCCTGTCTCCCACCTCCATCTCCAGCCTCCTTAGGGGAGGGAGGGCTGGCAGGAAGGGGGTGCACTTTCCTCTACTGATCCCATTTCTCCTTTGTACACCCTTGGGTGCAACACTGGATCCAAGGCAACAAGCAAAATGGCTTGAGTCCAACCTGGGTTCTCATCTGCGCTGAGTGATGGGGCTGTGCACATATACCTGGGTATCCCCTAGGTCCTTTTACTTCTTCTCCCCCATTTTCCCATCTTTTGCCATCCTGAAACCAAGGTGGGTCCTGATGCCAGCCCTGCTATACTCATCCCTGTGGCATGGGAGAGCCTGTCATCAGAGAATTTGCAGGACTGCGTTGACCTTCAGAGCTCTGCTCAAAACTGTGCTCAACTACCTTGCTCATTCAAGGCATAGTAGAGAGTAAAACCACTTAATTACAAATACAGTTTGTTAACACTAAGACCCTAGTAGGCTGGGTGATCAGAGATAATGCTGCACTTGCAGAAATGAGGATTTCTTCATAATGATCTTGCACTTGGTAATATCAGGGGACTGGCTTTTTATGAAAGTTTAGGTAGTACTGCTTCTTGCAATATATTCTTGTTGCTATTGCTCTTGCTCTTTGAATCAATACTAGGGAAAAGCAATGTGCATCTCCTTTGTGGATATTTTTAGAGCACTGAATATACTATTAATTTCAATTCTGTCTCTGACAGCTATTTTTAATTACACTGTTCTGTGTTATGACTTAAAAGTTATTTTAGCATCCCAGTAGTATATAAAGAGTTATGCAGAGAAAGAAACATAGCCTTTTAGATAAAAGTTTAAGAAAAGGGCTACTGGATCTCACATGCAACCAGAGAAAAACAGTCTTCAGGGGAAAATTATTGATGTTCAGATCAAAGATCAGGGACTGGATTCTTGAGTGCATTTTATTTACTACATTTTGTGCTACAGAGATCTAAGACTAGAGCCAGGATAACTCATCACAGAGAATTGTTTACTGACAGTTTTCATATTAAAACACAGTTTTTTTAACCAGAGATATGATGGTTGAAATTGCCTGAGGTCGTTATCACCTTGGTTTATTTTTTCCCCTATTTCTTGAAGTTGATTAAGAAGGAGGTTCAGAAACTAATCAAATGACCGATATTCTTTCCTTCTGCCAGGTGAAAGGCAAGAGGACTTTGGCAGAAAACATTGCAGATAATGGAGGTTTGCGAGAGGCTTTCAGGGTAAGTAGATGAAAAATATCTGAAACATAGTATTATCTAAACAAAAAAAAAAAAAAAAAAGAAAAGAAAACCTGTGGTTAGGCTCCATGTCGCTGACATCTCTTTCTTATCAGGCATACAGGAGATGGATTGCAGAAAAGAGGGGAGGAGAAGAGGAGCCTTTACTACCAGGCCTTGAGTTCACACACAACCAGCTTTTCTTTCTGAGTTATGCCCATGTGAGTAGTACTAATGTGTTTCAAGTCCCCATTTATTAACCTGCACAATGTACAGTGCAGAGATTAGACTGCTTTGTTTCAAGGATCTACACCAGACAAACCCAGACTTTTCACGGTATAAGCAGAGACTTCTTCTCACAGGACTATTATGTCTTTTCTCTTTCTCTCTTTGTCCTCATCTATCTAGCCATGGTGCTAGAACTGATGACATTATTCTCGATTTTGCACAGTGTTGTCATGGCAGCTTTCTTTCCTCTTGCTGCTTCCCTCAGCTGCAAGGCTCTTCTTGCACGTATTGACACCTTAACCTCTTTCCATTTTAGATTCCCAGATTTCTGGTGCTTGCCATATGCAGCACTTTCTGACTGCTTCCACCACAGACTCCTGTTGTAACTATACCGTCACCATACATTACTGAGCATGTTGTTCAGGAAAACTAAGTAGCAGTGAAGAAAATCATAGTTTATTTTTTCCCTTCTTTGTTTGCTGTACCAGATCTTTTTTTTTCCTGTAGTTAAACTTTGATAGGGGGTGTGAGTTTTTTAGGAAAACATATAAAGCAAGGGAGAGAATCAGAAATTATTTATTTGGTTAAGAGAGTTGGGACAAACTCATTGTATGAAGAGTGAATGTTAGGCTATAAAACTTTGCCCACCAGTTGAAGGAATGAATAATCTAAAACCGGGGAAACAGAATCCAATGCAAACAGTGCTGGGTTTTAACCAGCTCTGGCTGAAAATTGCTTCTCTGCCAAGAGTCAGTGTAGCAGCAGTGTATGGGTCTATGGCCACCCAAGCTTGACAATATTAACCAATTAAAAGGCTCAACTTTGGTTGTTTATGCTGAGTTGATTTTTACACTGTTTCAGTTTTTCCCTGGGGAAAAAACTGGAAGCCACAGGGAAGATTTGGGGTCTTACAGGACCAATGCAGGACTAGTATGTCCAGTGGACCCTCTGAGGGGAGGCACATACACAGTGAGAGCAGTGAGTGCCAGGTACCCTTGAGCTCAGCCTATTTCCACTGAGCTCAAGACACTTAACAGACTCATTCAAACTGCCAGAGCTGTCTCGAGCCAGACAAAATTGCACTGAAGTCCACATATTCTATGGGCATTCTGGGCTAAAGAATTTTGTCAATAGGAAACATTCAACACAGGAGCTTAGGTAAGGCAGGGGCTGCTTAAATGAGATTTTTCATGCAATGGATACAGCATAAGAGCAATTATTCAGCTGTGCAAATATTCTCTCTACTCTGTTCTGTGCTCAGTTACAATTGGGTCAAGTATTGTAATAGGAATACTGAATTGGGGACCACTGATGGAGAAAAAATGTGCAATTTCGAAAGAAACTGACTTTCCAACATGAAAAAAAATATGTCAAGTAATATAGCTGCAATTCTAGAGATGATAAGAGCCATTACATGTACCTTTTAGACACATTACATAGCTTTGAGACCACGAGGTGTGCTTGGTAATTATTAAGGTGTCAGATGCTGCAGCAGAAGCTGAAAAGCAAGCTGCCATTATAGAGAACCTCAAAAAAGAACCAGTGAAATGACTACGATTAGATTATGAGAATGAGTGGGTGAAGAATAACAGTGGGTGGAGACTGGATCCATTAAGAGATTTGAAAAGCAAGAGAATATACCAACAGAAAACCGCAAGTTAGTGAAGGTGGAATAAAATAGGAGTTTGTGGTGTCTTTCTGTTTTGTGCATTGTGTAAGTCACAGGCATCTGAAGAACAGTGACATTACACTGTACTTCTCTTCCAAAGTCATATCAGATAACGTACCTATTTCTGCTTTTTATCTTTTATTAGGTAAGATGCAACTCCTTTAGACCAGAATCTGCGAGAGAGCAAATATATATCGGAGCTCACAGTCCTCCTCAGTTCAGGTAGTGTAAATAAGTGTATTTACTCAATATACATACAGAATCAATCACTGTAGCACACAAGTGCAGAATTTTAGCATGTTAAGAGGGGTTTAAGAGCAAACACAAAATTGGACTGTGCTCTTGGCTTGGATTGAAATGGAACTGTTTTTATTAGTTTATCTTTCACTATTACAAATGCTTTTCTGTAAAAATGAGGGTCTTTCATCTACCTTCAAAGGTGGTTGAACCAGAACACATTCTGATCCCTGTGATGTTTTGTAATCATGGCCTGAGTATCTAAAATGTCTAATTTATTACATTTTTTCTATGCAATTATACTTTATAAAACAATGAATATTAGGAGGATCCTTGATTTAATCTGCCTCAGTTCGTTAAAAGCTTTAAAGTGAGTACCTTCAGTTATATTGATAATGCAAAGCAAAACAGGCCCTGTAAGTTCAGTTCAAGATTGAACTCTTCAGTTGCCCTTCAAGAGACACTTTGTGGTAGTCCAGCCATAACAATGTATCTGTGTCCTTGCCCAAAAGGCCTCCCACAGGCTCTCCTAACCACAGACACCCCTGAACCTCGAGAGGGAAAGGCGGGAAAAGGAGGAAGGTTTAAAGACTTCATAAGAATTAGGAAGCCAGAGTTCATTCCTCTGTGTCTCCACAGATGTTGCGTGACTAAGAGCAAATTTTCTTCTGTTGGGATTTGTATTGGTTGTATTTACTTAACTGAGAATTGTGTGTTTGTCCTCAGTCACGTGCTACATTATCTCTGTATTTGGAGGAAGTTTTAATCTATTGCTCTGCAGGGGCACTATGCAAAATGCTCTCACAGGCTGATTCATGATGGAGGTGTCTGCAATACATGGGATTAGTTGCCTTCTGGAGATTCCTACTGATTTCTGTTGACTAAAGAGGGAGCTGGGATCCCACCTTCTCCACAGCTAAATTTAGATTATGACCCCCCTTTGCCTCAGTTCTCTCTTGGTAAAGTAAAAATAGCAACACTTGCCTTCACAGGGGAGTTCTGATGTTGCTTCGTAGGTATTCTGACATACTCCCTCAACACAGCTGCACCAAAGCTGAAGATATAAACACAGCATTCATAACACACCTTGGACTACTTATAACCAGAATGCATTAAGAAATAGTAAAACCAGAAATGTGATGACAAAAATTTAATATAAACTAGTATTGCAGATGTATATGTTTGGTCTGGGTAGACTTCTATACTCTGCTTTGAAACCTGCACTGCTGTACCTTTGCAATGCTTGTTACACCAGCTAGATAGGGTAAAGCTAGTGCAGTATTCAAATCTGCATGCCTTTTAAAAACCGAAAATACATCATGACAAGGACAGCAGTATCAGTCTGATCTTCAGCCTACAGATCAAAATTTTTTTATAGTTCCTGCCCCTGTTAAGATTTTGGTAAAATAACCCTCTCTTGCCTTCTGAAGTCCTCAGTTTTGTTTACCTATACACGTATTTATATATTTTGAATCATTACATAGCTACATTCCCACGAGATGGTGTAAATCCCAAATATACAGGGAATCTTGGAATAGCGCATTCATGAAGAAAACTCATTAAGGAATTGCACTAAGAAAGAAAATTTCAGAGAAGATTAGATTAATTTGGGGTCCAGAAAATACAGACAGAACTTTTGTGTGGTTTTTATGTGGGATACTCAAAACAGACCTGAAGAGAAACCGTAGTGCTTGTCTCTTAAATCATATCAACTTGGCTAACAAATTATATTATCTATTTTCCCCAACTTTGCTTCATTTATGTCTCAAGACCATTATAATAGCCGTACAGCTAGTTTCAACATTGACAGCTCTTGCCATGCAAAAAGCCCAAACAACCCTTTTTAAAGTAATTATAAAAGGTAAGTGTAAAATACGATAGCAATGAGCAACGCATACCCTGAGCATAGGTGTGTGCGTCTGAGCTAGTCACCCCGGTTCTTTTCACGGTGAAAATAGGCATTTTGAAAGTATATAATTCTTCTGTAAATAATAAATTTGCATTATTTAGACTTTGCAAGCACATCTTTATATTGACTGCCAAGGGAGCCCAGGGTGACCGGTTCAGGGGAAAGTGTCTCTTCTGTATGTCAGCGGGATGAAATCCAGAGAGCCCACTCTGATTCCACAGTTTGTGTGTGGCAATATCAAACCATGGGTAGAAAAGTCATGTGCATGGACACATAAAGATCTTTTGCTGACTAGATTCTAGCTTTATTTATTTTTAATTGGCAGGTTTTCAGTATTAGCATATGTCTTTGCTATTTTTGAATGCCAGTTTCAGAGTGAAATCACTGGCAAGGCAAGCAGAACTCCTACCAACTTCAGCAGCAGTTCTGCATGACTGGCTCTTGCTGTTCCAGTCCCTGAATATGTATTTGCAATGTTTTTACAGTAAAGCTGTGTATCCTATTTGAAGCCTAACATAATTTTGTAGTTCTCCCTACAAATGTGACCTTTAAACATTTTTGCACCAGCTGACTGCAAATTTTCTTACCCACAGAAAGTCTAATCAATGTAATAAGAAAGTTTTCTACTGTGCTGAGCTATGCTGAGAAGCTGATTGTCTGCAATGGAGAAAAATGCTTCCCCACAGCATAGTAAAGAGGGTGGAAAGGCATACAATTAATATCTCCGTAGATACTTTTCTGCTTTTAACTCAGGATGCTGTACTTTAATATCATTGCAAATTTCAGGATAGTAAATTCCAAGATGCTTGAAAGCATAGGAAAAATCAGGAAACAACACAATCCCAATCTATCAATGGTAAAATAATAATTTCTGAGAGCATGAAATAATACAGACAGGGAAGCAGGAGCCAAGGGTGACTGCATACAAAGAGCGAGCTGTTTCCCTATGCCTGAAGGTGCCAGTCTGGGATGCAGACACATTGTCTAGCTTGTGTGAGGCAGGGATGTGCTGCTCTTTCAGTTATCACACCATCTGTGGAGGAAGCAAGAGAGCTTGCGAGCTGGTCAGGGCAGAAGGTTCAGAAAATATATTTCTAAAATATCAGAGGAGTTGAGATGCTCCCAGGTGTAAGGCTGTGCTGGCCAGTAAGAAAGGCTCTGCCTGACCTCTGCCCAGTTTCAGGCTGGAAAGCGTGTGGGTGTGCGTGCATGTGCGCACATGGGTAGGCAGAGGGTGTTGTTCCAGGAAGCTGGCTGGCACAAGCCTAATAAAATCAATTCCAGCACAACCACGTGCCTACACCTCCTGCCTGCTGGACTGCAGCAGTTTGGCAGCAGCTGGAAGAAGAATTCCGCTGTGCAAGGCTATCACTGATCAACCTTTGCTGCCAAGGGTCAGATTAGAAAATCATTCTAAATGACATAGCATCCACAAAACGCAATTGTTTGTGGTTGAGTTTCTAGCACAGTAAGATGCTTCTCAAAGCACTGAATCAAACAAGATTGTCTTCACATTAACTTTGAATTGGAGTACTTCTCCAGAACTTTTTGGGTTTATTTGTGGAAAAATGACATGGGAAGCCTGCAAATGCAACCTGAAGTGAAGCCACTAAAACACTTACAGACCTGTAGTGTTTAACAGAAGACAATCTGCACATCAATCACTTTTCTCTTTGCAGAGTTATTGGTGCCATGAGCAACTTTGAAGAGTTCCGCAAAGCTTTCAATTGCCCAACAAATACAACGATGAACCGCGGGGCAGAATCTTGCCGGCTGTGGTAGATGTTTCCTTCCAGATCCTCTGTCAAGAGGGGTCTGCAATGTGAACTGCTGCACCTGAGCTCAAGTCCACTGCTGGTGTTTCAGAAAAACATTCTACAATCTGGAGAGGTGATACTTCAAATGCATCTTCCTTATCCATGCTGATGACCTGCCTGGATCAAATAACTCTCCATCCAGAGCCTAGAAACTTTTGAAATAGGAGAAGAGAACAGGTTTTCTTTCATAATTTAAAAAGGAACTCGTTTTATCCATAAAGCTACTCCTGTTCATCTGCAGTTGCAGAGCTGATGGATAACTGCCATTATCAATTCTAATTCCTGATTTATAGTAGAGCAAAAGGTAAATGATAAAATCCAGTTTTAATCTATTGCTCTGCGGGGGCACTATGCAAAATGCTCTCACATAAAATTTATTCTTTCTGGATGAAGAAATTCATGAGACCTGCTATAAAGCCAGCTCTGATCTGCTGTGTGATACAGCATTTTCATAACTTAAACTGTCACTGCCCAGCATGCCATAAATGATGTTGCATGATGTAAAGACACAATACTTTATATAAATTTGGTTTAATATGTCAGATTAGTGCCTTTTGGAAAAGTTTCAAGCTGAGAAAGCACTTCATGGTTTCCAACTACTAGGACTAAACAGAAGGGATACTTGTCAGATCCTAGCCTTTTCTAATTTTAGAACAGCTTATGATAAAAATCAATGGATGGTGAAAATCAGAGGCTTGCAGAGGGAATTCCCAGCGCCATGATACTTAGAAATATTACAGCACTTATTCCTGTTTATAGTGTTTGCCGAAGACACTACACCAGTTTTAATTTAGGGATTTCTTAGTGTCTGAGTCTTACAGAGGAATGTAAGTACTGTGCATGTTTGTCCTCATGTTCTGGACAGGGCACGGTGACTTGTGATTTTAAGGAAAGGAGAACATGTGACTGAAAAACAGTACTAGCAGCATTTGACTTGTCTGGATATAAAGAGCAGTTCAGCAGTAGAGGACTTTTAAACACATTATATATGCAGGCCAGTTGAGTTTTTCATTTGATTTCTAACAATATTCATAAAAACCCATATTTTATAGCAGCAGAAAAACTTTAATGCATAACTGTTACTAAAGGGGGAAAAAACCAAAACAATGCTTTTTTCCCCAACAGAAAGATAAATATTTACCTGGTATTTATTTACACCTTGTGCATTAATTAATTTTTACAAGGTGGAATTGTTTCAAATGGAGAGAGAGTTTCTTTAGACTGATTTAATTACTGCAAATCTATATAGGTCTCTGTGTGTATATACTTTTTATACATATATATATATCAAAAATATATAAATTCTTTTATTCACTTAAATTTTATTTTATCAGTACAGAAATGTTAGTAAGATAAACTTTTTTTACAAGGATTCATCAAATATTTTCCAACAGTCAAGGTGGAGGAAGGTTCAACTGAAGATAAGTTTTTGCAAATGGGGTTAGTTTGCTATGTTTCTTTATAAGGAAGGGGGACATAAAGGAAACAGAATTAATGGAAGGAGGCAAGCCCTAAAGCTACCTGCCAGAGAGAAGGAAGCTGAGACTCCTGAACTCAAGGCACTGTTGCCACTTCCTAGAAACAAAATATTGTGTTTTGGGACCCAGACTTCCTTTTTTTTTTTTTTTTTTTTTTCCCCCCCGTGAAAAAGTCAAAATTTTCTTAAGAGGAAAAACACTTTTGCTTCCTTCAAGGCAGCTCTGTTCCCAAACTCCATGGATTACAGTTTGTTATTTAAATTACTGCTAATAATTTTTTTTCCTGGAGTTATTTTTCACATAAACTGTTTAGATGGTAGTATTTGTTCTGTCAAAACAAGCAGGTATGGATCTTGAGCAAAGTGATGCTATTTGCCTGCTAATGAGAAGGTTCCTTAGCAAATTGAGTACTGTACTGAATTCATTCCTGTGCTTGTATGAGCACTGACTTAATGTTTTCTGCTTTGGATCAACAGCCCTAAGTTCAGGGGTGACACCCTGGCCCATTAAAGGTAGTACCAATACGGTCATTGTCCTCAGAAAAGTCAGGACAACAACTTAAAACACTTGTCTAAACGTTCTAAATTACTGGACTATGCAAAGCCAGTTTCACAACAGTCAGCTTTGAGTTTTATAGTTCGGGTCAGAGATGCATTTGCAAGAGCTTGTCTCTCATGGCTATTTTCCAGTGGGACAGATTCTGTCATTTTGTGGTTTATGGAGTTGTTTCCCTGTACTGGATAGCAATTTCTTCTGAAATGCCTGATGTTTACTGCCTTGTATGCCACTCTTAAGACTGCTTGTTGGGCTTGGGTCTTTCATGTTTAATACCAAGGATTTTTGAACTGTGGTACACATATTCCCAACAGGACAGGAACTGCTGCAAAACTGTCTAATCCTTGCTAGGGCATCTCTTGCAGCAGACAGGGGGACAGGTCCTGGGCTGGGGGGATACTGGGAGCTGGACGGTTTGGCAGTGGTGCACTAGGAAGGAGGAACACAGGGCATAGTCATATTTTTTACACTGGTTTTAGCAGTTGAGAGAGGGCCTACATGCTGCCGGAAAGGCAAAAGTCCTTGCTGCTGACCGGCACATTCATCAGTAGTATCCTAGCTTGAGGAATCCTTGCTGTTGACTCAGGTTTTCAGTGCCTTGCGCTTAGGTCTTGCATACGCCCATGCACAGATCCCAGCCTGCCTTGCTTGCCCACTTTTTACCTCAAACCAAACAGCTGATAATGCAATTTACAGTTAACTTTGGAGTCAGTTATTTAGATACCATTGGAAAGCAAAGCAGAAGGTAGTTAAAAACATTCTTAAAACTTGGTCACCAAAGACAGATAAAGTATAGTGATGGTTTGTAAGGTCTTGTCCCATTACCTCTGTTTTATCAGACTCCCTGGCCCTGCTTTGTTTTCACATTGTGCCTCCTGGGTCTGTGCTAGCAACACCTTGCTGTGTTGCTGTCTGGGACACTTATTACATCCATGCAAACAGATCCTTCATCATATATATTCTACTCACACAGCTTTTAAATTGGTATTTTTTTCTAATTGCCAGTAATTATGTCAATACACTTTTTCCTTTAAGCATATTGTGAAATGTGTCTTCCTGCTGGCTCAGTAATCATCTTCTCATCCAGTGATCAGGTGGGGAAAGATCATCTAAGAACAAATAATTTTTACCTGTGTAAATTTGGAAATACTTTTCTACTGTGTAGACATAAAGAAACAAGACCTACTCCTGTCCAACATCCCCTTCTTTGACTCCTGAAAATATGTAAACATTCTTTTTATAGCCTGACCCTGAAAACACTAACTCACCACCTTATACACTGTGACTATTGCTGCTGATTGCATTGTGAAAGAGTTAGCTTTACACAGGAGTAGCTCTCTGAAAAGGCAGCTGTGCTATTCACCTGTGTAAACTGCTTAGGTACATAAGTGATGTCCAAGCTGGGTCTGGATGCTGAAGGACCAAAAACCCAGTTTCATTATAAAGCTCTGCCTCATGCCCTGTGCAGGGGGACTTCAGCATTCTTTTTGTAGGTATACTATTATAACACTAAATGTTTGAATTATTTATAAAATAATTGGGTGGATTTATGCATAACTTCTCATTGAGTATTATTCATACATGTTTAGAAGTATATCTTTCAGCAATATTATATATATAGATCTATCTCCAAAACAATATTGAAAGCCTGACGGCTCAAGAGACAGAACTGTAGTGAGTTAAGCAGTCTTTTGTGTTTATGTCTTTTTAATCTGGATTTTTATTTTGCTAGTCAGTCTGTTGTGCTTTTTAATTTTTCTTCTTGCATAATATGTTGATTGCCTTTTTAAAGACAACTGTGTTAGCCAAATAAAAGCCAAAGTGATGAAGAGTTTTGCTATGCTTGCAGTGTGGCACAAGCTGCTTGGCCTGTCGCTGTCCAACTCTACAATGTTACTTCTGTAATACATCATCTTTATAAAATGTAATAAAGAGCATAATGACATGGCCCCAGGTTCTCAAGGCTATTGTTACTGCCTGACAGCTTGAGAAAGACCTCTTCTCTCAGAGTTGTCTAGCCATCTTCAGACAAAGTTTATTAAGATTCACTTGCCCTCACTAATTCGCTGGAGCCAATTAAAATTAACACAGGACAAACTACTGTGGACGAGGGCTGGATGCTCCAGAAATTGCAGAAGGGCAGGTGCCAGAGCTGTTCCAACCAGAAGCCACCAGAGCTTAAGAAGGGGTTGGAGAAGATCCACCTTCCTGCAGCCTCACTCTTCTTGCTCCAGTCTATTCCTGTCTCGGCCCACCCCTTTGTAGCCTCACCAATTTTTCAATTGCTTTTGAGCCTTTTCCAGAAGTGTTTTCAATATGATAACCCTAGCACCATGCCCGAGTTTGAACTGCAGCTCAGCAAAGTCCCTTCCCAGCTGGCACAAAGCAGTGGCTTTGCCTCCTTCCCAGGCTGGGCTGTGACTGCAGGCAGCTTAGCTTGCTTCTTGTTCCTCACCACATATTTCATGAGCCTGACTGACCATTTGTTCGAGGGCTGTTCAGACACAAGGACTGTGCCAAGGCCTTACACATTACCAACTTGGCTCTTCTGGGCTAAGGGCCCTACTTCTTGGGCTCTGACCACTTTCCTGACACTGCTTGGGTGCTCATAAGCAGTGGTGCTGGCCCACCTCAAGGCAGCACAAAGCCCGGTTCAGTCCCTGTAGCCCCTGTGGATGATGGCTGAAGTTGACCGTGCTGCATCTTTTGAGTGATGCTCTGTGGCGACACAGCCTCTCAAAGCCATAGCCTTGTGCAGGCAGCTGTCCGCACAGCTCCTGGGTTTGGGGTGGCAGGGAGGTTTTATGTTTGAAAGTCTGAATCAGTTCTGTCAGCCACTTTACGGCACAGCTGCTGTAGTTTTATGCAACAACCGCTTGCTCACTCTCCCCCTTTCCCTCTCCCAAGGATGGGGAAGAGAATTAAAGGGGTA